TGTGTGTGTGTGTGTGTGTGTGAGTGACTGCAGGTTTATAGTAGCAGTGCTGCATTATGGGATTGCGAGGCCGTCTGTGTTCAGGTCTTTACTGTGGTGCTGGAGGTTCAGAGGGACTGTTGTGGTTCTGATCCAGAGACAGACTCCAGCTGTGTGTGGGAAAGCAGCACCAGAGGAAACACACAACAGAGCTACAAAACACATGACGTTTGTACAGTTTGTAATGATAAAACTAAATCTAGAGCTGAAAAGGAAGGAAAGTATAAGTACAAGATATAGTTCCTCTTATTTTTGTGTAGATGTCTTTAGTATGACATTTTCCACATGTGAGTCCCTGCAGCTGCAGTAGAAACATCCAAAGTCAACATATGAAGGTCAGTTTTTTCATTGAAGTAAAATAAGTCACCACAGAACTTTTATTCAGTAGGTTTTTATGTGTTTTTTATTTGAATTGTTTGCTTCACTTTATCTGAAGTGACTGACAAATAAGAATAATACAAACAGAAACAATTAATTCAGGAAAACAGCAATATGATTAGAAGACTGGAATAATTGCTGCTGAAATATATGCTGAAAAAGTTAATTTGAATGAATGTTAATTTTATTACAATGGAACATGTGCTGAAATGTTCACTCTGAAATTGTTATTAAATTTCACAAATTACAAAGAATCATCAAGTAGGACATTGAATTAAACACGACATTTTAATATACTGTAGAAAGACTGCAGTTTTTCCTTGTAAAACGTACTCCAATAATCTCCATTTTATACTTTTACACTTAATGTGATGAACTACATACTTAAAGTGTTAAGGTGACATTTTTATTTGTTTTATTTGTTTACCCACAAGTAATAAATAAACAACAAGTAACAGACCATTAACCAGCTTCAGAAACATGTAAATGTGTAAAATTATTGAATGTTAATTAAATAAAAATTAATTACATCAAATCTAAACAAAATTTTGAATTGTTTTTAGCTTTATTTTTTGTTTTTCATTTAAATGTTAAGTTTTGAAATTTTGTTGTATGCATTTGCAATTTTATTTAATCTCTTTATTTTTTTTAAATGTGTATAGGTAGTATTTATAAAGTTTTAGCTTTTAGTTTTGGATGTGTTTTTAGTTGTTTTAATACTACAATTGATTGCTTCTGTTGTCCTCATTTGTAAGTCGCTTTGGATAAAAGCGTCTGATAAATGACTAAATAAAAATAAATAAATAAATAGCATGCATTTATAAAATAGGTGATTTTTATTTCATCCCTGCTTTACGGTGCATGCATGAAGACTGAGGTCTGGTTCTCATGGTTTCTCGCTGCAGTCGCTGGCGCTCTGGACCCGCCCTGACACCAGAACCACATCCTCACCAGCACATCCTCACCAGCACATCCTCACCAGTACATTCACAGCCCTCAACCAGTGAAAACACTCAGGCTTTCTCTATTTTTTCACAGCTGTTTACCTGTTCGTTTGCTGTAAATGCTTCCTAATTTGATCATAATGAGGGTTTGTAATTATCACAGATTGTTTTTCTCATCCAGTAAACTGCAACATAAGAATATGATGGGTGTTTAGTAAAGGAGATTGGAGGCAGTAACTTTTCATTTTCCTTCATAACTACAAATCTACAATCATTGTTTTAATACATTTTCTGGAAACAAATTCAGACCATAAAAAAATATTTTTGTTAATATAATATACAGTATTATTAGTTATGTATTATATTTACTTAATGTAATATTTATTTAAAATATAATTAATTATGCATTATTCAATATATTTATTCATTTAATATGAAATATACGTATATTATATAGAATATATATATGTATATATATGTGTGTGTGTGTGTGTGTGTGTAAATATACCTTTCAATATTTATTTAATATACTATTGTATGTATTTAAATGTGTACCGTTGTTTAATAATATATTTTATGCATGTAATATGATTGTGTTTATGTACATATATTTATATATGTATACACACATGCGTAAGCACACATAATATAATATTTCATAATTTATTTAATATTCCATTTACTGTATATTTAAAATATTCATTATATTATACAGAGGTATAATTTGTATGTGCATTTGTGTGTGTGTGTGTGTGTGTGTGTGTGTGTGTGAGAGCCTCAGCTTCTCAGATGAGAGTCTCCCCATGTGTTTAATCTGAGACACGACTCGCAGTCTGGAGTCCTCCGCGCGTTTATTTATCGCTCTGGTGTTTAGGGAGGCTTGAACGCTCTTTCTTTACCACTGAGAAAATATTTACTCAGTATCACGAGGCTGCTGAGGTTTTCTGCTTCTCATTACAGGAGAGACGGACTGCATCTGCGCGCCTGCTCTTTATTCTCCATCTACAGATTCATCATTTCAGATGATGATGTCAGAAGAGCACGGCTCGGTCTCGCGAGGGAAGATTCTTGTTCCAGCGCCGAGGTGAAGCTACATCTGTCTAAACAACCTCTCCAGCAGCTAGCTGAAAGGAACACAAAACCCAACAGTGTTTTTATTTCTTGCCTTTCCCCAGAGACCCAGAGAGAGAAGAAGGGAGATATGATGAGAAATTGTCAGCGGTTGAAGGGAAAAAGAGCTGTCTCATGTTTGGCTGTCATGCAGTGAAATATAGGAAACTCTGGGCTGGTCAGTCGCTGCTCCCTCTGTCTCCTTCAGCGCAAATAATGAGAGTCCATTCAGTGTGTCCTGGCTCTATAAGAGCAGAAGTTATATACTGTAGATACAAGTTCAACAGCACACACAATAGTACACACAAAAGTGAAAATTAACTCACCCTCAGGCCATCCAAGTTTAGGATGCGTTTGTTTCTTCATCAGATTTGGAGAAATGTAGCATTGCATCAGTGTCT